GGCCAAGTGGGGAAAGTTCTGAGGGGTGGCCTCCATGTCATGTCACTGACCGGCCAGGTTCCAAAGGAATCTGTCTCGAGGACAGGTACTGGTCCTTAGTGACCTTCCAGAGAACTATTTCCATGGATTATGGAAGAAAAGCTCAACTGCAGTAAAGCCAAGAAAAAGAGAAGAAGGTTACAATGAGTAGAGGGTGGAAGACAGGCTCCCTTTCAAAGCGTCTGGTTATGGGAAACAGAGGAAGTAGGGGGGCAGCAGGAAGGCCTGGAGATGTGGCAGCAGATGCGGATCCTCCCACGAATGATCAGCAGAGAGTGAAGAATACATGATGAAGGGGGGACAGTGGCATCTGGTCCCGGGCGAAGGGACCGGCCTTCACTGGGAGCCAGACATCCCCCCACACATACCCGGAAGGCAGGCAGGAGGCACTGGGTGGCCACAGTGTCACTGCTGGGGAAGTGCCCACGAGGTTGCTCTATGTCCTCGCAGACATGAAGCAAGGTCATCAGCCCTGAAGGAGGGCAGCGCCGGAGGCCTGACGGTTCACAAGAGGCAGGCACAGCACACGGCGCCTGAATGGGGGATGCACTGCCCACCTAGTGCCAAAGAACTTTGAAAACATAATGTAGACCTCCTCAGACATTTTTTTTTTTTTTGAGATGGAGTTTCACTCTTTTGCCCAGGCTGGAGTGAGGTGGCGCAATCTTGGCTCATTGCAACCTCTGCTAATTTATTGTGTGTATTTTAGTAGAGATGGGGTTTCACCATGTTGGCCAGGCTGGTTTTGAACTCCTGACCACAGGTGATCCACCCGCCTTGGCCTCCCAGAGTGCTAGGATTACAGGTGTGAGCCACCTCGCCCAGCCTCCTCAGACATTTTAAGTTCATATGTCAAATCTGCAATTCCAGTTTAGAATAGTTCCCAAGGATGTAGCCTATATCGACATTCCTTAAACAAAGGCATCCCAACATTCTTTTAAATGCATACTTAAATTCAGATACCAGCATATCATAATTCATCTAGAAATACACCTGAAGCTCCTTTATCGCTGTGTGACCGCCGGAGGGCACATGGTCCTTGCTGCCTGACCTCTGGCCCAGGAGGCACTAACCATCAGCGGGAGGCTGGCAGGGCCAACCTGACAGGTCAGGAAGGAGAGGCCCCTGAGGCTGCCACTACCTGGGCAGCGGCAGAGGTGGCCCAGGCATGTGGCACGCACGCAGCAGCGCTGGAGGAGGGCAGAGCCCTGGGGCATGGGTGAGGGCTGCTGCGGTCAGCTTCTGGCTGTGTGGGACACAGCAGCCATCCCGCAGCAGTTCTTGGTGGATGCCCGGGGCAGGGCGTACAAGTGCCTCAGGTAAGCGTGGGGAAGCCTGCACCCTCACCAGGAGTCAGATCTGAGATGGATGGCAGTGAAGCAGCCAAGAGCTACTTATAGCTGGTAGGCACAAGCCCAGCCGACAGGCCTGGCCTAGATCTCCAATGCCAGTGTGTGGAGTGGGTCACCCGGCACCCTGTCCCAATGCAGGCTCTGACTCAGGGGTCTGAGCATCAGAGACCCTGCCCCGTTTGAAGCTCCCGGTGCCCAAGCCTCATTTCAGGGCAAAGGGCTGTGCTTTCGATGCAATGCAACCCTTCTCCCCATTCTGGAACTGCTGTCGTGGCCACGCCGTGTCCCTGGAGCCACGCCTCCAAACCCCTCATCATTTTTCACGCCTCCGCCTCTCTGTGCTTTTGTTCTGTACCTGCACGTTACGTTCTCACTTGGCTGTGAGCACAGCAACTCAGGCCTGACACTTCGCTCTTCTTCAATTCATTATTCAATATTTTTTGTTGAACACACTACAGGTATTAGTTCCAGAAACTATATTTTGTGCTGTGCTTAAATCTCTGAATGTTCTCATAATTTATCATTTGTCGTATTGTGTCTGTGGGACACGGCAAATAATCTTCTCTCACACTACTGGTCCCCTAAATGTGCCAGCTGGATTTTGTGGGGTGTAGCGGCCGGACTGTGGGCCACGGCAGGTGGAAGACCCTGACTTCTGGACCCAGCAGTGTCCCTCTGAGGCTGCTCACACCACCCAGAGGGCACCTGTTGTGCACCCACACAGCCCGCCAGTCCCAGGCTCAGCACCCAGCACATGGGGGAAAGTGGCAGCTTTGCTCCTCCCATTTCTGTTTCTTTAACTCCAGCGCTTCCTGAGCTCACACGATGGCAGAGTTGGGACTCAAGCCCACACCCACCTCCTGCAGAACCTGAGCTGCTCATCGTGCCAACAGCTCATGTTATGAAACCTAATTGCAGTCTGCCGGGCTGGGTTCAATCCTCCACATAATTCCATTCCTGGATGTTTCAGGATAGGAGAAGTTAAAACAAAAATGAGATCAAGTTTTAAAAATGTTTAAAGCTAAAGCGCAAGTGAAATGCTTTGACTTTCATCCCCTCTGAGAGAGTGCTCTCCTGTGCCGGGTGTCACAGCCAGGATGTCTGCCCTGATACCTCCCGCAGGGCTATGGGATGGGGTGAGGCTGCAGAGAAAGCTGGGAAAGGAGGTGCCTGAGAACCTGCCTTCCACACAGAGGCCGAGTGCCAGCACAGGTAATGATGAGTGCCAACAAGTCAGGTAAAGGAAACCCACAGATTTGCCTGCATAAGTTACCAGTCTTTGAATTAAACATTCAGGACAAGGGTAATAACCTTTTAACTTGAAAGCTGCCTGAGAATTCTTCCTGTTCAAGCAGATGAGGTTGGAAAGTGAAGGTTTAAGTGGAGAAAGACTGCTAGGGAATCCTCAGTCATTACGCTGTTTCTCAGTGGTTCCAACACGGTCTTCAGGGCCCTGCAACAGAGTCCTAGGAACGCCACCCGCAGAGGCCGCCGGCCTAGTGGAGGGCAAGAGGAAGGATGGAGAGGCGGTGGGTGTGAAAGGGACTTTCCTGTATGGAAATGCTGCTTAAACATCTCCACGCCAAGAGAAGAAATAGGAAGAGAAATATTCTGAACAAACGTGAGCAGAGTTCACCTGCTGCTCTCAGCACACGGCTAACAACACAAATGCAGCAGAAACAACCCCAAGCTGAAGACACGCTTGGAGAGACAGCACCAGCAGAGAAAGGGAGGTTCTGTTTTGTCTCGAGACTCGCTTCCCTGGAACACCGGCCGGAGGCTGCTGAATGCCCTGCATGGCCCAGGCGCCCACAGCTCTCCCCACCTACGTGGTAGCCTGCATTCAGTCACTGGAGGAGGCAAGTGCACCTGCCCCCTCTCTGACCCTTGTTAAGGTTCTACTCATGTTAAAATCCCCTGCAGTGTGGGAAGAGTGTCCTGTGGACGTAGCCAACAGGATGTTTTCACATCTGACGGAGGCTGGCGAGGATGCAGGGAAGGCGGGAGCTCTGCTGGCCGGGTGGCAGGAGCCCTGGCAAGGCGCCCTGAGTTCACGCTGCACCTGTGGCCTCGGGCAGGCACACCTGTCTCTCCTGATGCATTCCCACGAATGTTCTTTGGTCTCCTTGTCCGTTCCCCAGCTGAACACTGAGTGGGCTCCCAAGTGGGTGCAGAGAGGACCAGATACTCGAAGGGTTTGGTTAGAGCCGACCCTTAGGGTGGTCCAAGAAGCCTGACCTCGTATAGAAGAAGCTCAGACGCCTGAACTTTGTTGGTCTATGTGAGCCAGGCCAGGCCACAAAGCTTTCAGGAAGGCGAGGAGCTGGTACTGCCTTCTCTCTGCAGAGGGACGCATGACTGCAAAGATCTCGGGCCTGAAATGAGACCCGCGGCCGCACACATGCTCTTCCAGTCATACCCTGGGTTCAGAGGGCTCCACAGCTGTGCATTGTAAAGGTCCTCCCAGTGAAGGAGCCCCTCTGTAGGCAGGAAACCCAGATCACCTCCCAAAGAGTCATTTCTATCACTGCATCTGTCAGAGACCAAGCCAGGGAGAGGAAACTGTACACATGAGGTTTTGCTATGAATGGGCTGCCTCAAACGATCGGGGGCCTGAACCCTACATCCACCCAGAGGGCAGCCCACCGTACCTAGAGGCTGCCACAGGGAAGGCAGATCCAGAGAAAGGACCAGCTTCCACCCAGGGAACGTAGAGGGCTGTGGGTTGGTGAGGTTGGCTCCCAGCACAGGGAAGGAGGGAATTGAGAGACACTGCTGCTACCAGTGGCAAAGAAAAGCACTGGCAAAGGCACACGGGCCCAGCACCATGCGGGAGGTGGCACCACATCACTGAAGATGAGGGTGCGTCTCAAATGGCAGGCGGTCCAGCAGGAAGGGCTAACAGGTGGGGTCTGCGACTCTGAGGCATGTGGCAAGCCCATCCCCTGCACACTGGGGACTTCACATGTTTGTGGCAGGACCCTGGCGGCTTTTGTGCAAGCCCCTGGGCCTACTCTTACTTTGCCACACCAGGGTTCTCAGTTCCTGCCCTGAGCCAGCAATCGATGATGGCAGAAGCCACACCAAGAACAGGCTCATCTGCCCAACGAAAGGTCTACGATGTGCACTTCCAGGCCTAGCTGGGCTCAAGGCCACACAGAGAATGAAAGGCCCTGCCCAGACCAAGCACGAGGAGCCACACAGGCTGATTAGAATAGCTTCCACACTGCAGGGAATAAAGATGGAAGTCTCTGTGTTTTGATGTGTCACAATTTTCGAAGGGAAGGGAAAGGGAGGAAGGGGAGGGGAGGGAGAAAGAACAGCCTTTTCTGGGAGGGGTGGCAGCTCTCAGTGGAGCTGATCCTGAGACCACCAGTCACCACGGGACGTGCTGTCCACAGCAGCTGCAAAGCCTTAGCTCTCAGCCTGCAATCTGGGCTCTCGGTGCTCCCTGCCCAGCTGCCTTGGGCTCTGCTCACATTTTTCCCTCTACACCTGTGAGTGCAGCAAAGAGGCAGGCTTCATCCTCTGCTGCCATAGGAAGGAAGGCTGAGCCCAGGCTATGTCCAGGCTGAAGTTGAGCCCTCAGCAGGGAGGCATGTGACTCACCATGGTAGCGGTGAAGGGGATGTTGTCAATGAGGGACGACGCCAGGGCTGAGACCCACACCACCAGGACGATGGCGGCTGTGAGGCGCTGCTCCTCCGGGACCATCTGGAAGGAGGACAATAGCAGCTGACCCTGTGTTCCATCACATGCACTCAGGGTCAGATCCCACCAGCCATGAGACGCAGAGGGGCTGAGGGTGTTAGTCCTTCCTCTTACCTAACATCCCGAGACCAAGGCAGACACAGGAGTGCAAGCCAGGGCCACACCCACACAAGGAGACTCCGCTGGGTTTCTACCGGCAACGCCCAGCTGTGCCCAGCCCTGCCAGCCCCCAGGTGAAAAGGCAGAGTGACCCCACCCCTCATCCATGTCTGGTGGCTGCGCACACTGGTCACATTGAGCTGATGGCCCCGCAGACCCCTGGGGTTGGGATGCCTGCAGCACTCATCAACTGATGCCGGAGTCCACCACGCTTCTTCTCAGACAGGCTTTAACTAAAGGCTACAATTGCAGGAATCTGTAATTATATATTCTTTGGGAAAAGCCTCCCTTCATCTGTGGGCTGCACAGGATAAAACAGGTTCCCTGCTGTGCCTTTTTACATAATTAATGTGACCTGTTCTTACCAGAACTGTTTTTTCACAAAATCAAAGAACAACGGCTGGAGTACGTTCCATTAGAGCATTTATTTTACCTTTATTAGCAAGGCAGTTTGTTCTCCAACGTATTCTATTAAGTGGAGATGTGCCAACGCCTGGAAGAGAGGACGTGCGGTGAGAATCAGCATAAAACCGAAAATACATGTAAGACTTAAAAAAACAACGTCTCAAAAACGAAAAGACGTGAACGTAAGGTCAACCCAGACTCCTACTTCTTATAAAAGATCAGAGTCAAATACACAGTCTATAAGTAATTTACTATCATACATGCACAGTGAAGATTTGTGGAGAAAAAGTCCACCAGCAGTGGCAGAAATCCCTCACTGATTAGCACGAATGTCCGTGTTACATTTAAATCTGAACGGAAGGCTCTCTTTGAGACCTGTGTATGGGATACTGTTTAATCAGATATACTACTCCATACAGGTCTTTCAAGTCAGGCACATTTCCAACTTCTTTTTAAAGTTAAACATCACAGAGTTTTAAAAGAAGCTTTCAATGTAGCTTTTATAATCTTCAAAGAATGGAAGGAAAAGTCTCTTTAACTGATGCATGTAACTATTTTGACAATACTAGGTAGATTCAGGAAACTGTACCCAGGGAAAGGCAAGAAAGAGTAGGAAAGAGAAGATGAGGTGCAGGGGCCTCCCTCCCAGGCTGCCAGCGTCCCTCACAGGGATGCCCAGAGGCCCGAGACAGACCATCACGGGAGGTCACCGGAAGGCAAGACACACGGCTGCTCAGGCACCCAGCGCCTCTCCAGCTGTGGCCTTTTCACTGTGATTCGACCACGCTGAAAGACTGCAAATATTGAAAACATCAGCTTGTCCGTGTTTATTTTATTTATTTAGTTATTTATTTAGAGACAGTCTTGCTCTGTTGCTTAAGCTGGAATACAGTGGTGTGATCTCGGCTCACCACAACCTCCACCTCCTGGGTTCAACTGATTGTCTTGCCTCCTGAGTAGCTGGGACTATAGGCGTGCGCCACCATGCCTGCTAATTTTTGTATTTTTAGTAGAAACAGGGTTTTCCCATGTTGGCCAGGCTGGTCTCGAACTCCTGACCTCAGGTGATCCACCTACTTCAGCCTCCCAAAGTGCTCGGATTACAGGTGTGAGCCACTATGCCCAGCCAGCTTGTCCATGTTTAAATTAAGAACCTCAATCTACATATACAGTTGTTAGCTGACCTTCATTTAAAAGCTATGGAGCCTAAATGTTGGGTCTTCAGTCACATTTCTCCACCAAGTTTGCTTTTATTTCAACTAAGTCATAAGAAGAATATCTTTAGAGGAGGGTTTCTTGCCCTCGCTCTGGTAACTTAGAGCCAGGTCATTCTTTGCTGTGAGGCTGGCCTGTGCATTCTACAATGCTGAGCAACACCCCTGGGCTGGCCCCACCAGATGCCAGCGGCACCTCACCACCACCCACGTGGCAGACAGTCAAAAGTGTCTCCAGATGCACAGCCACTGTCCTCTGGGTGGGGGTAAAACCACCCCGTTAAGAACCAATGTTCCCTGGGGGGTAAAATCACACCCCATTAAGAACAAGTGTTCCCTGGGGGGTAAAATCACCCACTGTTAAAGAATAATTTATCATAATCCAAATTTTATTAAATGAACTTTAAAACTGAAAAAATATTGAATGTAGCTATACCTTTTATTTTGCTTGATATCATCAGTTGAAAGAAAAATCAGAGGTCTAAGCCAAATTAAACTGTTCTGCCAAATACCACATAGAGATGGCTCTCTGTGTATATGACACAGACACACACACACACACAGACACACACACACAGAGTATGGTATGCACATCTTGATGTGTACCTATAGATAATTATATTTACATATTTACTATCATATAATTATCCTAAACATCATGGTCTGAGATATGCAGTGTAAGAAGACAAAATGAGGTAAAATATTTAAAACACTTTAATATTGCACCTAATAACTCAGCTCAAAATAACTAATTTTTTAAAAAGTCAAAATATGAAGAAAAAACAAATATACTCTTTTACAAAATGGCAAAAGTAGTAATTATCTAGCTATCTATCAGTGTAGGTTAGATATACCTACAGTCTATCACTGTAGACCGTGTGTATTTGACAGTATGCAAAGTTGACGTGCAGTTGAAGACTACACACATTACTTGTCTCCTCCATCAGTTTATACAGTGAGATGACTGCGTGGTGTCAATCAGGATATGCAACATCATTAGTCCCTGTCACAGAAATGCTGATTCCACACTGACCTGAAATCCTTGTCCCACTGAAATAAGCCAATACAATGAATCATTGCTACCACTTCTTTCAAAATGATAAACTATGTCTAAGCGTCCCTTCTTCAGCCAAACAAACGGACCCTAGATAAGACATACTTTTTAGCACATTCTAAATCAGCACGACAAGGTACGGCTTTCCAAGGAATGTCTCCCCATGAAAATGTCTCCTACAGCTGTGCAGGCGCTTCAGAACTTGCATGGCACAGGATGGAAGTGCCTTGAAGCTCCAGGCTGAGCAAGCACTGGAGTCAGAGGAGGTATGAACACCTGTGAGTCGGGAGGCTCCACCAAGATTTCTCACATTGAGCTAAGATCCTGGAAATGCACTAAAATTATTGCCTGGCATCCAGCAGAAGCAGACACAGCAGTTTCTGGAAGAACGCATCCCGCCTGCAGGCCCTCAGGAATCCCGCAGAATAAGATGAAGTGATGAGATTATAGTGTTGATCTCCAGGGCTCAAGATGACAAGCAGCATGAATGAAAGCAGAAACAACCAAAACAGACTTAGCCAGATCCCAAAGCCACACAGATGAGAATTCATAGATACTGAATACAGAAGAGGAATTTTGCTTAAAGAAATCGGGGGTTGAAAAGTGTAAGAGTACACAATTAACATTGACCCGAGATGAATTAAGAATGAAGGCCATCATCTCTAGATGACATTAAACTACTAAAAACACTAAAAGAATGAGTAGACAGCTGCCAGGAAAGGGGAAACAGAATTTTAAATAACTCTCAATTCAATCAAATAGAAATTGGCTAATCAAGAAAAATAAAGAAATTTTTAAATTTTTTTTAAAGTAATGGAAATTTAATTTTGAATGAATAAAAATGTAAATACAATCAAAATGCACATGAAAACTTGAGGGAAGCAGCTAAAGGGAAATCTGTCGTCTTAAATGTACACCGTGGGAAACATGAAGCATGAAAATCAAAAGCTAAGCATCCATCTTTGTAAGTTCAGAAAATAACAACTAACTGAACCCAAAGAAGTGAAGAGAAAATGATAATTGTTAAGTGGAAAAGGGGAAAGAGAGAGAGTCATCAAAAACAACAATAAGAAAGGGATCATCACTATAAAGATGCTACACTAAACAGATAATGGGGTAAAAATACAAATCAACTCTAGCATTCTTTCTGCTTTTATACAGGAACCCGTTGATTGGCACCATTTGCTGAAAAAATGTTTTCTTCCCTAAATTAATTGCTTTGCCACTATGGTTTAAAATCAGTTGTCTATTTAAATATAACACATATACAGAGTCTATTTCTGGACTCTCTTCTGTTCCACTCATCTATGTCTATCTTTTGCCATTAGCACAGTCTTGACTCCATAGCTTTATCATCAAGTCATGAAATCAGGTAAGTGCTCCAAAAGTCGTCCCTTTTTAAAAATAAACGCTTTAGTTATTTGAATTTAGTCATCTGAAGATATATATAAATTGTATAATTAGCTTGTCATTCTCTGCAGAAAAACCTAGGTCAATTTTTATTAGAATTGCACTTAAATCTGTAAGTCAATATGAGAAGAGCTGCACACTAAACAATAATGAGTCTTCTGATCTATGTATGGACAGACGATATCTCTTCACTAGATCTTTAGATCTTTTACAAAAATTTCAAAATATCTCAGTAATTTTTTGGTATAGGAACCTTGAGTATACTTTTTAAGATTTATGCCTAGGTTTTTTAGGGTTTGGGGTTCCACTGTAAATGCAATTGTCCCTTAAATATTTTCCAATTATGTGCTGTTAGCATGTGATAATATATTGATTTTTTTGGATACTGATCTTGCATCTTCTAACCTTGCTAAATTTATACATTAGTTCTGGTAGTAGCGGATTTTGTGTAGACTACCTCAGATTTTCCACATCAACAATCGTATAGCCTGCAAACAAGAACAGTTTTACTTCTCTCATTTTCATTGTTCTGCCCTTTCTTTCTTTATATGGTTTTATTACAAGAACTAGGTCCTTGAGTACATTGACTGTTGAATGGAAAAGGTAACTGCCTTGCTGCCAGTCTCACGGAAAAACAATTAGGTTTTTTACCATAAAGTATAAGGTTGGCTCTAGGGTTTTCAAAAATGCCTTTCATCAGTTTGAGAATTCACAGCTCTCTCTCAAATGCTTTTGCTGCATCTATTGAAATGATCATATGGTTTTTCTCCTGCATTCAGCTAATTTGGAAAAGTATACTAATTTTTGAATGTTAAATCAACCTTGGATTTCCAGAATAAACTTTTCTTGGTTACACTGTACTATTTTACGTACTGTAGCATTTGATTTGATATCATACTTGGATCTATGTGAGTGGGAGGTGTTGATCTGTAATTTTATTTTCACATAATACCCTTGTCTTAATATCAGGGTAATACTAGACCTGCAAAATAAGTGGAGAACTATCCCCCACCTCCATTATTTTCTGAAAGAGTTTTATAGGATTCATAGTATTTGTTACTCAATGTTTAAGAAAATTAAACAGAGAAGCCATTTGTGTTGGGACTTTTCATTATATAAATAATTTTAATTACTAATTCAGCTGCTATACAGATATAATTCTACTCAGGTTTTCTACTAAAACTTGAGTCCAGTTTGGTAAGTTATATTTTTTAAGGAACTATTGCATTTCATGTAGGGCATTGAATTTGTTAGTATAAATTTAATAGATTCTCATTGTTTTTTTAATTACTGTAGGGTTTGTGTTGATCACCTCTCTTTTCTTGATGATATTGGTGATGCGTTCAACTGTTTCTTTTCAAAGAACCAGCTTTTGGGCTTAGTGGGTTTTTTCTGTGTTGTCTGTTTCCT